GTAAATTACCTTATAATCTCCTGATGCAGTTTCTCCATGTGTAAATATTTAGGTCATTATACATCTGGCAGTGTTAGAAACCCACAACAGTTTCAGTCTGTGTTTTATGTGGCACCTACCACAGCAGGAGGTGCCAGTCCACAAGTTCAAAGTGCTGGGACAGTAACACCATGATAGATATGTATTCTATTAAAATGTTGTAGCAGTGCTACTACTGTTTCTTGGTGTTGTATACAAGGAGAAAGAAAGGTGCAGGAGTTTGAGTGCTAACTCAGGACTTGGGTGAAGGCTGGTTCAAGTGTTGTCCTTCCATACAAACATGGTGAGATCTTGGACATGTCTGTTGCTCAGGTTGTTCTTCCCTGCCATGCTTGTGAATGGGATTATTAGGTTTTGATGCTTACAGGGATGCCTGAGATTAAATATGTTGCAAAGTCTGAGATACTGGGATTCTACAAAAACAAATACAAAATAGAAGTTCCTTAAATCAAAATTTTATCCAGAGTTTGATGAGGCCCCAAGCCTGTCTGAGTTGATGGTATGAGCCTAAGCTGAGAGCAGAGTGATGGGATCTCCTCTTGCAGTAGCAGAGAAGAGTTACAGCGTCTCAAGCTGCTTTAGAAATGGCACCATGAGGCCCCATGTAAATTGGGGCTTGCTAGGCTTCTCATGTGGTGACTTTGTGTGTAATATAGCAGGAAAATAAAAACCAAGGAGTTTTTAAATCTAAAGTTTCTGCTTGCTTTCCTTCATCAAAATATTTTCTCCTCCAAGTATTTTCTCCTCCCCAACCCCCATCCAAAGATGAAAGCTGAACACAGTCACAAACTTCCCTTTCAGCCCATTCTTATGAGACTAAAATGTATCTGTCTTTCAGGTGGGGCAGCATACCTCCAGAGCACATCTTTTGGTCTGTCTTTGAGTGGCTTCACAGCCTCATGCTGTCCCTTCCTCAGGCAAGCTGCTGTGGTCTCCTCCTGGGGAAGCATCCCACCCCATCCCATCCCATCCCATCCCACCCCATCCCATCCCATCCCCCTCTTGTAGACCCATAGTTTTCAAAGCCAGTTGAGGAGGGATAGTGGTTACCAAACCAGGGCATGAAAAGAGAAGTGGCTTCCTTGGGGTCATGCATGAGACCAGCAGAAGTGGGAGCTGCATCCAGGTCTCCACCACCCCAGCCCGTGTGTGGCCCGCTTGGCTGCACTGCTTCCCTTGGGGTGTAATTTGGCACTCGTTTCTCTGGGAACCAGGGCCAATGGCAATGTGAAAATTGTATTATGCATTATTTATTTATTTGTGCAGCCTTAACTTTTCTGCTGGTGGGTTCCACCCTCAGCTGCGCTGTACGGCTGCACAAATATTTGCGCTGGGAAGAAGTGGGGGGAGTAGCTTGGTGTGAGGAATATGCAGCTGGGACGGAGCAGAGGGCTAAAGCTGTTTAAATTGGCTTAAGCCATGCTGTTGGCCAGTGTCTAGCTAAGTCTTCTGGGCAAACGATGATCTAAGTTTCATAGAGATACTCATCCCAGCAATGGGCAAGGTCACTTCTTCTTTAAGCTGAAACTGTAATTAGCAAGAAACTTGATACAGTTCCAGGGATGAACATCCACCTGCATTCTGTCTTGCTAAACATGTTTGCATTTTACATAGGCTTTTAAAAAAATACTGCTTCCAGATTTAGCTTAGAAACAGTGAAGTGTTTGCATAGCTTGTGCTCATACATCGCTACAGAATGATTTTTCAATTTAGTTGATTGCCTGGATAAGACTGTTGGTTTTGTCCTCTATAAAACATAACTGTTAGACTTTCTTTAATAATTAAAATGGCACTCTCCCTGTGCCAATGTTGCAGTTTCCTTGTAACCACTGTGCACCTGGGTCAGATTTCTCCCCTCAATGCCCCATGATTTTCAAAGGGTTTTGCAGCAGAGGAAACAAATACTTTCAGAAGTAAGATTGAATTAGAATTAAGTTGTAGGAGAGAGGGAAAATACATCTGTTGTGAGAGGTGGGAAAAATATAGTGACTAAAATAACATGGCGGTGTTTCCTCCATGTGGTCTTTTTTCAACTGAGAAATACAAATAAAGATACATTTTGATAAAGAGCTGTGGTGAAGCTACTTTAGTAGTGACTCAACTGATACCTTTACTCAGTCATAAAAAATGTGCTGCTGCTTCTTTTTTCAGTTCTTCTGCTAAAGCAGGTTGCCAAATAACATGGTAAGATGCATCTAATAAAATAATACCTGGATAACTACTCTTTAATCAATAAACTGGGAGCCAATTTTGCCTTTGAGTGCCATGTAGGTATCCCAGGGACTGACCTGGAAGCAAAACCAAAATCTTCTTCTTGGTTATTAAACATAACCAGTAGTTAGAGATATTAATGTCATAAAACAGTGAGTTTTGCTCAGTGAACCACTTGCAGGACTACTGTTTAATTATTACTGGGAGGGTTAATGGCAGCTGTACTTAACCATATTTGGAATTATTTCAATGTGTTTGCTAGAAGTAGCTTCAGGTTTTTACTCACGTCTTCCCTGCTCACTGTAAGGTTGTCTCTGCTGCTTTCTTTCCTCCCCTGCCTCCTTGTCCGCCACGGGCTTTGGCTCTTGGTGTCTTCCCCTACAGCCAGCGTGCTGCTTTGGACTCCGTCCTTCTGGAAATCGGTGGAAAACGAGCGCCCGCGCCCGCCTGCACGCAGAGCGTGCGCTCACCCTTCCCACTCAGGCAAGGTGGAAGTCCTTCGGTCCTCACCCTCCGCGCCAGGTTTTGGAGATTAAATTTCCATCCGGCCTTTCGGTGTGCCCGAGGAGTTCGTAGAGCCCAGCCGAAGCGCTTCCGCGGCCTCCGCCTGCGCGCCGGGTGGCTTTCAGCACGCTGTTTATTAGGCACAGCAGTTTGTTTAAAGAACGTAAGGGGCATACTGGAAATTCGCTGGGGATCCCCGAGAGCCCTGCCTCGGGAGTTAGATGCGCGCCGGCTTCGTTGAGCAGCGTTAGGCTTCTTCCCTCAGCGATTTGGGCTCTTTTCCTAAGTTTCGCTTTGTTTCTGGGATTAAGCCGTTTGGCGCGAGCAGGATGCTGTTGGCAGAAAATGTGCCGCAGAAAAGCGTTTTATTTATTACTCGTGGAGTGGGGCGGGGTGTTAAGGCGAGGGCTCCTAGGTGAGGGACGAGGGACGGCCGCGGGTGGAGGGCGAGCCACGCTCCGCACACGCGGGGAGGCGAGGCGGGGCGCGAAGCCCGGCGGCCCCTCTCCGGCCGCCGAGCCGCCCGCTCCCCCCCGCCTCAAGCCCCGGGGAGCGAAGCGGGGCCGCCGCCACCACCTGCGGGCCGGGCCCGGCGGAGCTGAGGCCGCCGCCCGGGGCGTGTCGTGTCGTGTCGTGTCGAGTGGAGCCGCCCCGGCCCCGCGGTGACTCACCGGCCGGGGCCCGGGCACCACTTCCCCCCCCGCTTCCACAGGAGCCATTTTAGCTGCACGAAGCGGCGGGGCGGCCGGGGCGGCGCCGCAGGCCCCGCGGCGAGGCGGTACGTGCTCCCCCGGGGAGGGAAGGGAGGGCGGCCGGGCTGAGGGGAGGGGGGGGGGGGGGACGCGGCTTGCCCGGGCTGCCGGCCTCAGCCGCCTCGACGTGCCGCCCGCGCCTTCAGCAGCTCTCCTCAGCCGTCTGGGGCGGGGAGGGGGGGGGAGAAGGATTGGGAGGAGAAAGGGAACTTTGGTGAAGTGCAGCCCCAGGGCGCTCTTGGAAAACAAAACAGAACAAAACAAAACAAAAAAAAATCAAACCAACCAACAAAAAAAAATAATTTGAGGCGCCAGTAAAAGCGACGTTTCAGGGCAGCAGCGCCGTGAGCTTGCCTGTAGTTGAGCGTGTCGCTCCGGGCAAAGGGCACCGTGGCCGCCGCTTGTGCTCCCCTGCACAGCGCACTTCACAAGCGTTACAGCGGATTTGTAGTTCTGCGGCGTTTTATAATTTTGTCCCTTCTGGAGCGTGTGGAGGTGTCAGGCAGGCTGCTGGCCTGATCCCTTCTGCTGCTGCTCAGCTGGCTGTAGGATAAACTAATTTTATTTATTCCGAAGCTACATTTACCTGGACCTGGTTAGCATGTAGCAGGGCACGGCCCAAAGCGATTTGGGCAGTGTTAGTAAGGACTTTCAGCACCTTTGCTCCGCCACGGCCGTTCACCCAGCGCGGTCCCGAGCGCCTTTAAAATGGCAGGTTTGTCGTTTCAAAGATGGATCTCTCTCTACGCCCGCAACCTTAAATTGTGCTTCTGTTTCTGCTGAAACAAACTCCTTCAGAGGCAGCCGCCACGGTGTCGTTTTGAAACAGAGGGAGTTAAATTGTTTTGGGCGGAAAAAAAATGGGCACCTACTCACCTTTTCCTGAAAATTATTAAGAAACGATAGCAGTGGGGATGGTATACATGGCAGAGGGACAGACCAATTATAAAATGGGCTTAGTGGTAGTTGTAATGGGAGAAGAAAATCCTGGAGGTAATTGCGGTGTGTCAAATTGCTTTTTAAACTTTCAGTGGATGAAAACCACCTTGATTCTCCTAATTATGTACTTCTGAACTCTAGCGCAATATTTTAAATAAGAACGATTGTTTCCACCTTGTGTATAGTTGGACAGAAATGCAGGGTAGTATCTTTAGAAGTTTTGTCTGAGTGTATAATTTTGGACTCTATATTTCAGTCTTTCAGTTGAGAAATAAAGTTGAATATCTTCTTATTGACAATGAAATGACAGAGAGCTCAGACTAGTGCGCATATGGGAATACTTTCCAGTTTCATTTACTGTATGGAGCTTACATCTGAGAAGTGTAACGAAGTCTTGCTAAATACTGCAATCGGTTGCAGGGGAGGGAGGGAGGGAGGCGACCATTAAGTAAATGGTCATGTTTTGAGTGAGGTTGTCTCTTGTCTTCAGCCTTTCCAGTGCTCACCCGTACCTTCCTTCAGCATTTTATGGTATGGCGTTTTTTTACCATCTTTTGATTTTATGTTTTGCCTGTTTTCTTTCTAAAAGCAACAGTTTTGCAAGGGTTTGAGAGATTTGTTTGGTGTACTGTTTCATGTTGAAGGAAATGATAAAACTACAGAGGAACCGTTTGGAAAAAAATTGTTTTGTGTTACTGATAGAATTTTTTTACTGAAAAACTCTTTAGGGTATTTGCATCTTCCTTTTTTTCATCATGAGTTTTATTTTCATATCTTTGGGCTGAGGCAACAACTGTCAGCTGTACTTGCAACTGGCAGAGCACAAGCCTCCCTTTCCTTACCTCTTTCCTCCCCTTCTTTCTGCTGTACTGGACCCTCTCGAGACATCCAGCCTTAAAAACTAGAGTTATCCTAAGTCGGCTCCCAAGCTGCAGCTGCTTATCTTGGGCAGAATGCTTTTTGTGTGCTAAAGGGTAAGTAGCTGCTGCTGCTTTCTCTCGGGCAGGGCTTCGCAGAGGAGCAGTTCCTCTTTGAAGGCAGAGCTGCCATAATTAGGCTCTCTTGGTGCTGTGCAAGGACTACACCAGGGCTACAGAAGCATCTGGGGTGCAGTGGTGGAGTGAGGAAAAAGGGATTTGAAAGTCCTCCAAGATTTACAGATGACAGCTTGGACAGATTTTCTAGAAGGCAGAGAAGCGGATTAGAAGGGACAGAGAAATGGCATTAGTTTTTATTGATTTTTATAGCTGAAGCCTGTGTTTGTCTCAAAAAAAAACCTCAACTTTTTTCCCCCTCACCCTAAGGCACAGATCTTTCAGTTTGGATTGAGTTTGCGGTTGTTGGGAGATGAGCTGTGGGAGTGGTATCATTACATGCCAGTTAGCTTGAACTTTATTTGCAGACCCCTGCTTTTACAGAAGTCCTTGTTTTCTAACACGCTCTTTATTTAATCCATTGAGTATCAAAATTGCCAAGCCTGTGATCTTGGTACTCAAATGAGGAAAAAAAAAAAAAAAAAAAGAAGTAAATGTCCAGATTTGAAGAATGTTGCTGGCCTGGTATAGCCTGATGTTTCAGTATTAATGCAAACTCGTATTTCAGTGGAGTGTGTTACTCTTTGGATGCTCCTGTGTATTAAAAAAAAAACCAACACGAGGTGTATAATGTACTGTTTTCTCTCTTCAGCACAGCTGTATTCAAGAGACAGGACTACAGTAGGACTGCGTTTGGTGAGCTGATAGAAAAGGCTTTGTAAGAAAAACGCAGGATTTCCCTCTGTATCAGAGAAGAAGCTTTGATCTCCAAACCAGCTTTCACTTCTTGCAAATGTTAGCAAAAGTTTCTCAGCTTTCGCTGGCAGATTTTGTTGTTTTTAGTGACGGTTTTGGTAACTCACTGGAGTTTTGTTTGGTGTGTGAGGATCAGCGAGGACTTTCCCCTAACAGAGTGATTCAGCACAGGAGTGGCAGGAGGTGGAGTTCACGTTTCCAGCCTTAGTTACAATCTGCTCCATAAGCGCTGAAAACTTTGCTACTATATGGCAGTGATTTACTGTGTTTATCCTTTTAATGCCACTGATGTGCTTTAGAGATTATTTGCTTCCTTAAATCTTACTTAAATGTTGCTTTCTTAAATCTCACTTAAATGTTCCTTCACAGATAAACTAGTTGACAGACTATACATACTGAAATTTGAAGTCTTTCGCTTATCAAAAGTCCGCAGCAGCCATGTGAAAGGCTCTAGACATTCTCACTCTCCTGACCTGACAGGGCTAATCAGTGTAGAGGTAAAACTGAATTGTTCTTCAATATGGGCCTGTTCTGCAGCAAAGCTTCCCACTGTGTCAGCCTTTGTGCTAAAAGGATCCCATTAGATAGGGACTAAAGTTTTTGCATTCTTACCTTGATGTGCTTTAGGCCTTAACTACCTTCCAGCTATCTTTAGTGATTAATTGGATGACTAGAGCTCTGGTCATTTATTCGTCCTTAAAGAGATCAGTCATGTGACTTTGTACTGGGTTCAGGTTTGAATGTGAAAACGATAGCTGTTTTGTTGGCCTGGAAAGAATCTCCAATTCTTAAACTTGCATGTAAAAACGATTTCTTTCTGTATTGGGGGAAAAGATACTACCATTAAGATAATTTTCTAGGAATAGGAATACTAAATGCATAGATTGGAAACTGTGGGAAAGGGTTGTTTTTAGATGGATTGAATGTCGCTGTCTGCTTCTATAATTAGGCACTTTAGTCTATTTCTAGAACACCCTGTATTTAACTCATCGTCAACATTTCTGTGTGAATATACCAAATACATTTTTTATTTTGAGGGGAATGCTTTGTGCTTCTTGAATAGTTACCGTTAGTCTACTAACGGTCTCACCGCTTCATTTGCGAGCTCCTTCCGCATTTGCCTCACCTTCTTGCGTGGTAGTGGTTTGACTTTTTAAGTGGGCTCAGTATAAATGTCATCCCACATGAGATTGGGTTTCAGAATTGGAAGAAAGGGGTCAGCTTGGTTGATTCAAATCGTTGTCTGCTGTTGAAAGAAAAAAACATGTTAATATATATCGTTGCTGCATATACTGTTTTGTCATGCTGTATGTTCCTCTAGAGTTGTTTTTCGTGGGAGCTTTTCACATAGTTAAGAAAGCTGACAGGTTAGGAGAAAGCTAGCTTGCTTTTATGAGCTTTGCGTCGAGTCTTTTCTGCTGTTCTCCAGTTCCCTGCTATCTTGGTGTTTATTCAGTTTTATATTGCAACTAGGGAAAGAAGCAGCAAAATGTGATTGTGAAACTACGGTTACAACTTGTGATACCCAAGGCTGACCGCTGACAGAAAATTAATGTTTAACTTGCTCTTCCAACCAGACTCAATTTCAAGTTAAAAGCAAGTTGACAAGGATACTGTTAGTTTTCTCCTCTTTGTGCATGCTACATGGACTGCAGTAGGTAATTTTGGAGCTAAGAGGAATAGCTTCCCAAGGATGTGATGGCATGTTTTGTTTTTAGTGGAGGCTGTCTTTGCGACCAGAAGGTGACCCTCTTAGGAAGAGCTTTCATGAAAACTGTATCTTGAAGGCACCAGGGCTGGCACATTGTCTGCTGAAGGCAGAATTTTGCTTGACGTTTTCCTCAGAGGTGGTGGTTATGGTGTCCACTCCCATTCTCTTGATGATCCCGTTCTCTGTTTTGTACTGTTATTTTCCCCCTATCCAGAGCCTCTCTAAACTCTTTACTCTCTGTAGCTATTCAAGCTTTGTCGTGGTTCCTGTAAATTAAGCATGAGAATTAGCTATCAAGAAAATAATTATGTAGCTTACGTGCTGTGGATTGCAAAGGGCATCAAACCTGCACAAATTGCAAGAATTTACTTCTCTGACTCCCGGTGCCTCGACAAACCAGCTTGTTGAGAGCTGTGTCAGCCCAGCAAGGGGTTGGTTCCAGGTACCCTTGGTGGTGTTCTACTGAGAGGCTGCCATCCTGTTTTTTTTCAAAAAAACAACCAACTTTTGTTTATTTCAAAAAGAGAAAAGAAGGAACTGTAGAGAGGAAGTGTCTGTTTGGGGGCTTTTTTTCTTTACAAAGGTGGTTTAGGCATATGAATGAAAATGAAACTTTGTGTGTTGAGACACAGTCTCAAATTTGACTGCTAGGGATGACTTTCAGCATTTTTAAAAATATTGGCCCTTTTCTATTAAAGATAAGTGTATTTCTTTTAGTATCAGCTAAAAGCAACAGTGAAATAAGTTGCTTTTGAAGCAACTAAGTGAAATACAATTTTAATTTGTCTGATGGGGCTATAATATTTTTATAAGCCATTAATTTAGACCACTTAAAAATGGCCTATGGAGGGATTTCCTGAGAAGAAAACCAAGAAGAAAGTTACTGGTGTTAGAATATTTTCCTAAATGTGCTCTTCTGAAAGATGTATGTCTAATTATGAATGGTTGATGTAATACAACATTCTACCATTTGTTTTTATAAAAAGCTAATTGTCTTTTAATACGGTCCTTCAAATGAGCTGTATTAAATGTTATCTCAGTGGTAATGGACTAGAAATAATTCTCAACAGTAAGAAAGGTTGGAAAACTTTTGCCAAACTGTAAGACAAGGGTTTGGTCTTGTAAATGTTTGGTTTAAAAATAACGCGGATATTTACAGAAAAGGATTAATGCTTTTGAAGCCACATAGTTAGAAAGGGTACATTTTAGGTCTAGATTCTGATGTTCGTAATGTTTAAAGGCTCTCTTATGGGTGCCCTGTGTTGAGGTGGACTTAAGAAGCATTTTGTTATTTTGTACTGCCAAGCTTCATAAACAAAGGGGCTGTGATGACATTTTATTGATATACTGTGATTTAAAATGTGCACATTTGAGGATAGAGACAGTAGCAGTTATTAGTTGCAAATAGCTAGCTGGGTAAAATAGCTGCTGCCATGGGAGAAGAGAGCATGTCTGGGAAAAAAAAAAATCAACGGGAAGTTTTGTGGGTTCATTTTTACTGCCTTACTTGAGTATCTCTAGATGATGTGAAATCAGGAAAAAAGATGACTGTGTGGAGAAAGCAGCTTACTTTCTGACAGAGACTGCCTTGGAAGAACCTGTTAAGCTGTCTGTCACGAACAAGCCTGGTATCTACCAACTAGATGGGAGCATGATGTAGTGCCTTGATACTGCCTCTGGTATCTCCACGCACTGTGTGCTTACAGGGCTTACGTGCACACTGAAGGTGCTTCAGCCTCGCCCCAGCTACTCATTTTCACTTGTAAGCGAAGGATACGTGCATCACCGCCCTGGTCGTCCCGTTAAACCCACGTGGCAGTGGTTTACAGGGGTATGCCCTGAAGCACGCATGAGAGGTTTGGACCAAGCAAGTTCTACTCAGATAATGACCCGTCCTGGAGGTGCTGGGTTGTGAATCCTTAAAGAAGCTAATTTAGCATCTCCCTAGGCCCTTAGCTTGACCGTAGGTTCTCAACTCAATAGTAAGCTGCATTAGTTGAGCTCAAGTTGCAGTTTAGACCTATGTTTTTGTGAGCATATGAGCTCGCACCAGTCTAATTTAATTTAAAACATAGCCTTAGTGAAACTGTTAGAGGTGGGCATGATCATTCCTAGATGTTTCTGTGGTAGGAGCACTCATCCATCTACCTCAGTGCTGCTTGAGGGGTGCCAACCTTTTTTTTTTCACTGACAGTATAGATTATTGCCCTCTCCTCCCATCCATGGCCAAACTGTGTGAGCAACCTCTTATCTGGTTCAGCCAAGACAAGACAAGTTGGCAATTCATTTGTCCACGTCATGGGAAGTTGCTGGTCGCTGGGCTGGCTGACTGAACCGGGTTAGGGATTGATTTTGAAGTGGTGGAGCTGTGGACTCTCTAAGAGCTGGCATTGAGAAATAAGGGGGAGGACAGTTGTCCTTGAAAGAGGACTGTTTTCCATGGCCAAAGCTTCAACAAAGGGATAATTAGGAC